ACGAAAAACTATTAATACAAAACATATAGTAGAGTATGAATGTCCAAATGATCCCAATGGGGTTGAAAATCCATGGGTAATTATGCCAAAACACAATTATGGAGTTAGGGAGTTGATGAATGATGATCCTAAGGACAGAAAAAATCTAATCAATTAAATAATTTCTTATTGTTATCAGAAAAGCTTACAGTTTAAGTGGTTCGAACTGACAGAACATCATCGGACTGGTCCATTTTGCCCTTTGTCTTTGAAATATCCAAGCTTGTAACTAACCAATCAGACCAGATGAAGTTGCTCTGACAGCCAGGTTACATTCAGGTGGTCAGTCTGAATGAATATGATATGAACGGGACGAATGTGGCTATATGTACAAGCGTACTGTTTATAAAATCCTGTCAGAACCATGTGATAAAGGTTACTCAGGATGGGACGGGTGACAGATTTCTCTGTCTGCTTTGAAAACTTGTAGTCAGAATGGTCGTATATACGAAAAAAATTTTGGTAAACAGGAGTTGTGACGTTATACAGAACTACATCTACAGCAGTTCGAGTAATGTTGCGATGATGACAAGCTACAAGAGGTGGTGGTGGGGTGGTTTGAAATTTCAGGTAGACAATCAGCTTGATAGAGGAACAAATAACCAGGAATTGGCAAAATTTTGCAGGTAGAAGGGGACAGATCCGACGATCACTACTGACTTGTAAGACCGACAGTGCTGCTCTGAGAAGACGTACAACTAGCACACGCTCTTGTCCATCGTGTGTAACTTTCAGCCTATCAATTAGCTTTCTGAACCCTGTTCAAACCAGCTGATTTCACGTGACCTTATTTATCGGACATCCTTAACTACTTGTTGAATTCCTCAGTGACATGCTTCTGTTTGCACAGGAAGTATACACTTGTTTACCAGGCAACAGACAAACCAAGCTGAGACCAGCGCTCTACAAGCCGTGAACACTATCCAGTCAGTAGCTGTGCTGATAGGAAAACACCATCGAGTGAATCGGCCGCCTTCTTACTGAAGATGATCTTGGGCTTTGATCAGCCAATCAACAGCGCTCAGCTGTTTTAGATCAACCAGCCCCAGGGCCAATCAGACAGTGGACAACTTACATGCGATTACATTCGAACTATGTACACAATGTTGTAAACGCCCAAAAACCCCGTGCTTCTTCATTGATAAGGTGGGGTTTTCCTGGATCAGCTTTGAACAAACAAACGAGCGTCCGCGGATATCCTGATAAAGGATCTGCAGTTCGTGTCACGTGAGTAATGTACCTAGCCTCTCAGATCAATGGGATACCGGTTTAAATCTCCTGGGGAGTGTATAGGTGCAGGTGGGTCTCGAATTTCTTGCATTTCGTGTTCATCAAAACTGAATATCACATTAATCCTGAGTCACTGGCCACTGTGGTGTGCTCGTTCGAAATAAAAGCACATTTGCTCACACACGACGTTTATGCAGAGTAATTTCTCCAAGGATTTAGAGGAGAACATACATATTCTCGCCAGATAATCACCCTAGGCCTGAGCTTGGTACTTTTTGGCGTCTGATTTTTGAGGGTTGTTTTTCCAACACTATGAAGGAAATCAACGCACAGTCCCTATAACTGAAGCATGAAGCGGTGCTTACGAAGGTTATTTAGTTGAAGAATATCGTGACTCAGCTGGAGTTTAATTGAGTCTCCCAGAAACACGAAAATCAGTCTGCAACTGGGTTTACTTCACTTTACACAAGATCTTTAATTAGAACTTTCTTACTGATGCTCCAAATCTGGGCAAATGTCTGCTGGAGAAGGCAGCTAAAACTGAAACTAAAATTGTGCACATTGATTTAGAAACCACCAGTATTCGTTTCGCAAAGTTCCCGTTGCCCTGTACTGTCCACCACAGTGGTGAGGCAAACGAAGTATTCAACGACGCAGTGGGTTGCTTAACACAACTTCTTTGATTGACTGAATTTCTTACCTGATGTGTAGGCACAAACAATGCAGTTCGATTTTTTAGGCCGGACTGAGCACAACCCTAACAGTGAAGTGCGAATGATAGTCTTCTGAAGGTCTCTTTCAATCAGAGCCAGCAGCATCCGTGTGGACAACCTGATGCTTCTGCCGTAATGGAGGTATGATGTGACATGAGACTATTGATAGTCTTAAGTACCGTAGTTGTCCGTGGTCTGCGATACTGCGATACTGAAAAACCTGATCGCATGACAGCGGTGTTTGGCAGTCTTAAGTACCGTAGTTGTCCGTGGTCTGCGATACTGCGATACTGAAAAACCTGAGCGCCTGACAGCGGTGTTTGGCTGGAAATACAACTGCATTTCAATCCTTACAGAACAAGTCACTACACATGTTCCAACCCCCAAGATGGATACCTAGGTGACTTCGTTCGTCAGACTTCCACCCAGCGATCAACCTTGTATGAGAAACTCTCTGTGTCGCACTGATCTCATCCATTATAGTTCAGTGGGTCAAGGAGACACAAACCGTCACGCCACGTTAGGGTTTGTGACGACCATGACGTCCATGAAATGCCTCAGTAGATCGCTCCAACCAGAGTCGTTATGTCTCATGCTATTCAACTTTATCCACCATTTAAGTGCACTCAGCTGCTATACACCAACGAATAATAGCGACTTAGATATAAAGGGGATAACCAGTGACCATGTGGACTTGAAATAGGATTAGTCGAGGCGATACATGAGTAACTAGGTCATTCAGGCTGCGATGATTCATTTGGGTGACAGCGCTATCCAAGGTATCCAGACAGCTCAGTTCTGATTACCCCATTGTTTGTGGGCTCAATGTAATTTTTTTAAGTCCCGAAAATCACCTAAATATACTGCGCCAAGTAACGTCCTCCCACAATTCAACCTTAACTATAAAACCTTAGCTTGGTGGCAGAAACACAAATTACATGAAGAATTGCTGAGAAGCGATCGGTCAGGGCACACAGCATAGGTATTTTTGCACGCCTCAAAGACAGCAGTAACACCTGTAACACCATTTCGGCACATAGCACTGAAGGAATCACGAAAACTTCTGCCAGATCGCCCAAGCCTAGACAGGAGAAGTTGAGATGCAGGGGTCGGGTTCGAAACACCGATCTTCCGGACGGTGAATTCGAGCTTTAACCACTGAGTCACTTCGCACAGGTTGTTTAGCTTGACGCTGCCACTGCATGTATTTGGTAAGCTGATCAAACAACTTAAATGACTAGATATAGTTTTCGATTCCTGTTGGGACATGCAGCACATACCCGGGTGCATACCAATGGTGGTGGTTGGTGAATTATATAGCGGGTACGTCGCAATACCAGAAAAGCAGAGTTTTTTTATCATTTAACTGAAAAATCAGCCAACGAGTTTCACGTCTTTGCGGGTTATCAAGTAAGAAGAGGGCTCATAATTTACTAGAGAAGAATTTATGAACCCATTATACCTGCTCTTTTTATAACCACACCCATTGTATGCGGCACCAGCGATCCAAAACGTTCTACTTTGCTGCATATCAGGGAGCCATTTTGGTCCCTGATTACTGGCAAGAGGTTTACGAGGACCAGTCGAACAAATCAAGTGGAACAGCTTGCGCGCGTTCCCAGCATTCTTTGCATCCTTCAATTCTTCGGTTTTTCCAGTCCACCAAACTTCTCGGTCTGTGCGGACACTCAGTTTCACCTGGCGTCGGATGATGTGCCAAGTTGAGTTGTAGTGGCGGCCAGGTGGAATCTGTCGCCAGGTCTCCTGCGAAGACACTATCCTATCAGAAATCCAATGTTTGGATGGTACCGAAAGCAGACGTTCTGGCTTTGAGTAGCGCTTTGGATACCTTTGCGCAGTGGCCGTTTATATCCGACACCGTACCGTCCGGCAGGCATTTGAGGACCTGGTTCTGATAGCTTCGTTTGACTTCTGGGTACACTAGCTTCTCAGTCGCTAAGCTAGGTGTGCGCGTTTTGCGTGCACCTGAAAAGCATAATGAAAAGCAGCAGCGTACAAGTGCATGGTCGGAGTCCACGCTGGTATTCAGAAGGAGTGGCAGGCGGTGACCGACTCTCGCCCCCGATAATTGACGGCGATGTGATCCACTGTTCACAACTGTTTGTCACAGAATGCTATTATGCTAGGTGCTAGACTTTTGAGTGGGTCGTCAAAAACTGAAAGCAAAGTTATATTTCACATCTAAAGAAGCTGCAGAATAAATGTGCACCAATTCGGTGTCAAAGCCGATTCGAAGTTATGAAATTTAACCTGAGTTGGCAAGCATAAATTAACAGTGCTTTCCACTAGGTTGCCGAAACTTGCCGAATTAAATTTTGATATGGCTTCCACGGGGTATCGGAAGTTGATGATGGCTCAGGCGCATGAAAATCCACCCATTCATCAATAGAATAATTATCCAGATGATGTTTCCCTATCACTTGTATTCGGTCGGATTTCTTGCCTAAGAACATCTTTGTGCTGATTTCACAATAAAAAATCTGTGGGTTCTACAAATATGAGGTTTGATTTTTGGTCTAACAGGCCATTTTAATTAATAAAATTTTCCGACTATTATTTAGTAGTCAGAAAGCATTGTCCAGTTGTCAGGTGGCCGTTCGAACTAGTCAGGAATGCACCAACGGATGTGTGGTCCAACAGTAATTAGTGGTAATCAATGTTAATCGAAAGATCACCTGTACGATCCCACAACGTCCTCTCATGTGTCTGATTCAGACGAAGGAGTTCATGTGGGTGAGTTTTCTGGGACATGAGAACAACATTACATTATACTAGGTACAGTTTCTTATTCGGTTTTGAGCCTAAATCTTATTTTTGTGATAGTTACCAACATACGTCTGATGGGTGTTTATAAATTCTGACTAGACTGTGGGGTTAACTACCTTAATTGACTTCTATTCACCAAAAAATTACATCCTTGCTTCCACTTTCTAGCCAAACTTCAGAATGTTCACAAAGAGACTATCCCATTGGACATCATAGAATAGGTGTGGAGAAATGCCCTTCTCTCTTGAGCGGAATGGCAGCCAGATAGCTTCGGTGGTGGTCAAAGAGGGCCTCCTCAGTCTGTGGTTGCGTAAGTCGCCCCATTCCGAAATAATTCGCCTTTCGTGCCATCGTTCAGCCCAGAAGTCCAAGTGGCAGAACGTGTATTGCAAGCTGCAACAATCCGGATGGTTTTACTGGTTCCACAAGTCCGGTTACAGAAAGCCTATACATGGAGTGGATCTGAAGGTAAGCAGTGAATATTTCCTTGCAATTCGCTGATCTGGGGATCAAGGTGGTTGCAGCCTTTTTCGCCCATGGTGAACTGACAAAAGCACTTAGCGTGAGACCAGCTGGAATGATTGACGCAGATTACGAAAGAGCGTTTGCTTTGACAAAAGAGCCGGTGGTGGGAAGCGAAATATTCTTCTTCTTATGCTCAAACATGGCCGAAATGAAGTGAGTATCCTGATTGGACCATTTTTTCTCCCTGGTAGAATGGCTTCACACATCCGCACTCAGAGCAACTCTCAGGATGTTTGAGATTATCCTATAAATATTAGACTTTCGCGTGGTTTGCTATGCAGCGACTACTGCCAACGGTGACAAAAAGGAGGATGAGCAGGAGGATGAAACTTGGAATCAGTTAGACTATTAGTAGCGCAGGATGAAAACGGGTATTTGGTCATGGATGCAGCTGATAATATTCTTTGTTCGGCTGGCATGAGAGCAAAGCCAACTTGTCATTTTTCGAACGAACGTCAGAATATAGCATATATGTGAATAGCACAGAATAGGTTGTAATTTGTTTCCAGACTGACCAAAACAAATCATGTTCATGTATGAGAAACGGGAGGCATATACAAACCTAACAAACTAGTGTGAAGTAAGAAAAAGTCACTCGGTTTCACTCAAGTTTCCGTGTACCCGAGCGCATACGCACTGCTTTGATATCCCAACTGACATTTCATTTTGGAGTTCGTTTATCATGTTCTGAACACGTGGTCAGCTTAGTTGGAGGGTCATGGCTAAATTCGTCTGTTTGCAGTCTGCGATGGATTCGGTCGTTTCCGGAGTATATGTCCGTACCTATGTGGCCTATGTGCCTATGGTCTATGCCGACCAGGTGGGTTCGGACTGAGTTTCCAAGTAATCCTTTGCTGTTACCAGGCCACCATTTAGAACACAGCTTCCGGATGCAAGTGGCATCCTGGCAGGTTGCAGAAGAAGGAATTCTAGACGCGCCAGAAGGAGTAAGCAACCATGGATAAGGCTAATACTAGTGATTGGCCTTTGTTGTTCAGCGGAATTGCTGGACCGCTTTTGAAAGTGGACATTACACATCCACAATGCCAAAGGTAGCGTTGGTGATACTAATATGATATACGATATGTGCGGTTTTACCCTGAAAGAGTGAAAGCTTTAAAAGGCTGCGCGATTACACTCAACTTTTCCTCAGCAAAGTCTCGCGGTAGCAAATACCTCGAACTATCTAGCACCAGAGGTTTAGGTCCTCCTGAAGAGTGTCGTTTAAACATATCTTTCCAGCTGAGCAATTAAACAAGTCCTATTTCTGTTTCAAACTGGTGAAATGAGTGCACGGTCCACTCCAAGTTTTCTCTCAATACAATGTACGTTTCAAGGACCATTTTGTTCAGCTACACAGAAAACAGATAATAATGATCAACATCAACGAAAAATGTTGCACATAATGGACTAGGCAGTGATCTTCTTAACATCTGGTCTCTTTGTTCACAAAGATTACGTTTGACAAGAAACTGAGGACTTGGGGTGCAGTGGGGCAACAACATATTCAACTTCATTATAGGTAGACCGATTTCTGTTTACCTTTCCGTAATGAAGCTGCGAATAGAGTCAGTGGCTTCAAGCAGAGTGCCAGTGGTAAATAGCTGGAGATCACTGACCACTCACATTGTCACCAAGCAGCGGGGGGCGTTTTCACGGCCATTTCTATAGTTTTACCTGTTTAGAACAGCAGTTTCTAAGTTCTTTCAAGATGATATAGGAGAATTCATTTGTTCCATCTGAATTAGAACAAGATCATCCGAACGAAAATCGCTTTTACTATGTCTTTTGTACTACCTCAGACATATATATATGTAGATATACGATTCAATCGGAAT